TTTTCGAAAAAAATCCGAAAAGAGAAAAAAGAAAAAACACCAACCGGTAAAATTTTTATCAATTCGGATTCATTCGATAAACTCCAAATTTCGATGTAACAATGCCCAAAAAATACTATATTTTACCATTAACTTCGAACGGCGCGCAGGGTCGACGGTCTTGAGAAAACCCATGTTTTTTGTTTTTCTTTTGTTTTTTGTTTTTTATATCTCCGACCATTCACAGAAGGAAGCTTACCGCCTATCTTGTCAAGACTTATCAGAACAACAGGTATTTCGGGTCACGACAAAATCCACTGTTCCGAAATCCAGTATGAGCCACGATGCTTCTTAGACGAAGCATGGATTGTGTTTTTGAAACCGTGAAAGTTGTGAACCATAGAAGTTCTGTAAAAAGAAAAAGAAGGGCGGGCTGTTAAAACCTTTCTAGTACACCTTGTACCAGTCTACCCAGCTCAGTCACGGGGTACGTTGGTGTATAGGATGTGATGAATACGAGCCTCCTAGCGACTACCACTGTGAGTTCGTCGATTTTAAGGTTTCGACGTTTATCGAAGACAAACTTGTTTGCAACTTTTGTCGTAGGACAAATAAAGATCGAAAATCACCTTCCGCGTTTGGCGAAAAAACTCCGAAAAAATGGAATCCGACATATGGGTTACTATTCGGCGCTGCTCCTGGCCTTTTGTCCGGTGGCCGTGCGCTCTGTGGCTCCGTCGTGGAAATGAGAGGCTTTCTCGAATAAAGGAGGCTGTGATATTGCTCATACGGCGCCATTCTTCAAAACTTGAGTGCTACAGGTCTCTAGAACGTGTTGCACAAACGCCTCTCTCCGCGCATGAGAGCGAAGGCCAGAAAAGGTGAGAGGAAGGGATCATGTGAGCAGCAAATCTCCGCCCACGCAGACGCCATGTTCTCTTCGGTCGGTAGCAAACAAAGCCTCGGTCGTAAGTTATTCTTTCGTTTCTGGTAATTGTTGACAAAAATAACGCGTCTGGTAATTGTTGAGAAAAACAGTGTACCAACCTCCCGACGAATTTCGTCCTCCGTTTCCCAAAGGCCCGAGTGTTCATTTTCACTAATTAAAGTTAATAGGCCAATCTTAGTTATTTTTCAAGCTTACCTGACAATTAGCTCCCATATTATGTTCTACTTTCCATATAACTCACCTGCACAAGACGCAATAGTGTGGCGTTTTTGTTTTATTTGAAACTAGAAATTGTGGATAACTTGAGCTTTAACACTCAGCCTATTGTTCTCTTCGTCCAAAAGCTTTTGCGTCTTGTTTTTACGTCTTGCGTTGGCGTCCCCCTTTGGCGCCCTGTTAATGCGTCTTCCATTTTCAGACAATTGCTCTCTCGAAAAGCGTATCATACATTAACAAAAGGCACGGGAATTATACCGTACCTGGTCCCGAGCCTGTAACGTGACTCTCTTGGAACGTGTCGGAAGAGAGCTCCCTGGCTACGAAGGGATACTTTGTAATGGGCTCGAGAAATTGCCCAATTCCTGGCAGTTTATTCTACTTTCATTATACATTGATTAAGGATATCTTCTCTAGCGTGATACTTTTCGGCAGATTGCCGTGCTGTGGAAAGAGTTTTGCTGATTCATTTCAAATGCGTGTCCTCTAGAAAGCAAAAAACGAAAAACAAAAAACAAAACAAGCCTGTATGCGTGTTAGGGATTCGTTTTCATTTATACACACCTAAAACAAACAAATCGGACTAAGTTGCGCCGGAAGTACTCTTTGTGTTGGTTTGTACCGCGATTTCATTATTATTAGACGCGTTAACTGGTTGTTTTTTGTGAGGACGACGACTCGGGAGTCGATTTGCTCGCACTACCGCTGCGGTATGGCATGGTGTAAAGGCCTGTCCAAACGGGGCACTTCAGAAATCGTGAGGCAACGCTACTCCCACATAAATCATGCAGAGACCCACATACGTCAGATTTTTGTTTTGTCTGGGTAATGTTTTGTGTGTCAAAGCTTTTTTCTGCTTTCCACGGGGGTCTTAAGCATGCTCATCACGTGAGTTTAAACAGCCACTCACACGCACTGTTGGTTGTCGATCAATCGCCTCAAGGCCTCCGCTGCTCTTCAGGACCCGACAACGTGAAAGGAAAGGGCTGTGTTCGCGAATCTTACCCAAAAAGATCCGCGCTACTCCGGCGGGTCGCGTCACGTGACAACAGAAACGTAGCGACGTTGGACACGGGTAGGTTTCCGAACGCAAGAATACAAATCCCTTACCCTGGAGCAAGAGCGAGTAAATTTTGAAACACGGCCCAGGATACGAGGGCCCGGCAGAACAGATGGACAGCATTGGCAGGCGGCGTGTGATGTCAAGTTTGACAAGAAGAGAGGTTACCGAAAAGCGGAGGAGGCGAGGAGAAAAATCTTGATGTATGCTTGGTGCTGATCATACAGACATCAGACTGCCGAACGCTTCAACTCACACGATTTTTGCCGGAGTGTGTCACCTAAATATTTTTTAAGTGTTCTGCTTGAACTGGGTTTGACGGCCATTAAAACGGCCTGCTGAAGCATTATTTTTTATGCTCTCCTCATTTTCTGATTGCCAACTTTTACCTACAATCTGTGCGGGCTGCATATTATCGTGATCATTAACATTATTGAAGCAACCGATCGGTATCAGTGATGATGATTTTATTGTGTGTGTGTGTGTGGGGGGGGGGGGGGGGCGGGGGTAAGTTCTTTTGTATAAAACAAAATAGTTGTATTTTTTATCTACGGAATAAACTAGAAAATATAAACCCCGTTATGTTTACCAGCATCAATAAACAATACGCATTCCAGAAAGAATAAAATACGGGTGATTCCGACGCTAGCAGAGGTAATAGAATGAGAAAGTTTTAAAACGTAACCTTAATACCGTGAATAGAGAAGAAGAACACAAAAATATGTCGTTCTGTACCGACGTAGACCTAGGTTTAATATTTGCCAAGCCAAAAAAGTCATCCTGGGAGCCAGTGACATTATTTCAGTGAAAGCCACTTCATTTCTGTAAAGTCAAACTTGCCAGCAAGAAAGTCAATATTAAATTTTCTTCTTGATCAGTTTTTTTTTCTCTTCAAATTAAATAAATAACATGACCCTTCCCACTCTCCATCTCCAGACCCCCCCTCCCCCCAACCAAGTATCAATTTTTTATGTGACAAATTTTAGGCTTAAGTGAACGTTGGCACATTAAAAAAATGTAGTTTTTTTTTTTTTTTAGCTTTTGATCCCAATTGCGTCATGTTCTCGAAGTTTCGCGTTTCATCACCATCACTGGCGTCAAATTTATGCCCGATTTAGATGGTGGGATTTTACTTGCGATTTAGAAATTGGGACGTCCCTTGTGCGGCTAAGAAGGCCCGGTGGAAGCTGCACTGCCCGACTTCGCAGCTGCGAACTCGCAAGCCAAATCGAACCAAGTAGATCAGTCATCGCACGGTTTCAGGTTTTGTGAGATGCCAAATTTACTTATGCTGCCCGAACAAGAAGACCTCCTTTTCCCTCTCAGACCCTGTACATTGAGCCGCGACGCCGACGAGTTATAGTGCCGAAAAAAATAAGCTTAAGTGGCTAACAGTGTTGTACGAAAACATGTGAACAGTGCTGTGCATTGAATGTGCGGCAGCCCTTTTCCTTTTTCTCTCAAATGCCTTTTTGGTTGAGCCGAATTCGCGAACTCGACACCGAGAATTACGTTTCCATTACCTACTTAATGTTACACTAACCCACTAAAATAACACGAGAGCGGTTGGCGCTCTCTCCGATAAATCCCGAAAGCCGGAACTCCAACCGCTCGATTTTGACAGCGTTCACAACAAGGTGAGGGCTTCGCCGCAGAGCTACCGTGTTAGACAGGCAAAGCACGCTTTAAAGGAGCCGTTAAGCGCGGTTTTTTTTTTTTTTTTTTAGTACGCATAACGCTTTCATAACGCCTTAAAAAACAAGAAATAAACGCATAAAGGATAATGTTTTCCATTTTTTACCATCTATACGTCGCGTATACAAATACACTTACAATGTATGCGAATGAACTTGCGACAAAATCTCGGCACACAGACTGAGAACTGTCGCTTAGCGTTAGGCTTCCTACCAAAAACTGTGACGGCGCAAAATTAAAAAAAAAAAAAGAAAAGTAAAACAAATTTGTTTTTTGATTTTCACTTCTATATTTTTCCGCACGTAGAATCAAGCTCTCCCCTTTCTTTACATTTCAATAGATTATTCCGGCACCGTTATAAAATTACGCGGCTTTTTCGGTTCGCCCCTAATGCCTTCGGGCAGTTGTCCTTTCCAAACTTAACTCCCCGACGAAACTTGTTGAAATAAACCGCGACCCGTTCATATTATTTCTTTGTATGCGCCCGCGAGCAACGAGCGAAATGTTGTATCAGCTCTTTTTTTCTCCCTTTTTCCGCCCTTCTTCCCACGCTCTGGTTGCATGACTTAACGTCATCTCTCGGTTTCCAGGCGAATACGTCGGAGTCCGTATTAAAATTTTAACGTCTCGTTTCTTCTTTTTTTCTTCTTTTGCCCGATACTGTTTGGGGTGATCTTTCACGAATTACGATAATGAAGCGACGAACCTCCACACCGCCCCCCTTTTTTTCAAAAAGAAAAAGGAAAAAGAAAAGAAAACGTCTATCAAATACGACGCGTATTTAAGAAACCCACTTTTTAATTATTTTTGTATTTGGACCGCTTGTGTTTTTGTAAAATGAGGCAAGTCCCTACTTTCTCGCGCGTAACTTGTCGTGCGAGGGCGAATCCGAGCACCCCACGGGCGCAAACAACTCCGACCAAAAAGTAGCGCAAAAAAGGTCGGTAGAGTCGCGTCCTGATTGGCCGGCCCATCGGGCTGCGGCGCGACCAATGGGCGTCCTCGCAGGACACCACGTGACCCGCGTGACGTCACGAGCTTGGAGAACCGGCGGAGGAGTCGCGTATAAAAATGCGCTCGGATCCCGGGTCGTCCGAAAAACTTTGACGCACGCCAAGCGCAGGACGAAGACGCACCGAGCGACGGGCCTGCCATCTCTCGACGAGCGGCTCAAGTGCGGAATTACCGTCGACCACTTCGCACCCCCTTTCGCCCAGCATCGCACAATCGGTGAGCTCGAGCGCCTTCCTTCGATCGCGACGGTCTAAACCTTGTTTCCGGGAAATTTTCGGGAGAGCGCGGTAAAAAGATTTTCGGGAGTAACTCCCCAATTTGCGCGCAGCGTTGAAGTTGGGCTGTGTGAAGAAAGTTTTCAACGTCATCAGGTTTTCCGCTCCCGATTTTTCGTGGCGATTTTAATACCCGAATTTAATGCGCCGTATCGATTTCCAGTCCAGCGCGATTCGTCACCTGTTATCCTAATTTCCCAACGTAACTTAATCGTTTTTGTAAAAAAAAATAAAAAAGAAACGTGACGGAAGGAATCGCAAACGAGGTGAAACTCGTCGCACTTTCCATATTTTGGAGAAATGTTCCTAATAGAACAAGGCCGCTGTAAACTCACTCGACTCGTGTATAAGACCTGTTTTTCCCGGCCTAGCTGAATAGCGTTCTCTAACTCAAGCGTGTTAAACAAAACTAGTGTCACTCACAGATGAGAGAAATGCGAAGTCCGGCTTATTATGTTCCGCTCTTCATACTTCAGTAATCATCCTTCACAGTTCGAATCGACGAATTCCGCGATTTCGTGGGCTCGTCCACTCCCACGTTTCTTAAATGGGCCATGAAACGAATTTTGGGTTGGGATGAATGATTTTAAATTGGGACTTTACTAATCGCATATCGTTTAGTTGGCCAAAAGAAAGAGGCTAGAAAGTCAAAAGCCAGCTCTTCGGTACGAGCATTTGAAAATATAGCGGACCACTTTGTACCTTCTTGCCTTCGAAAGCTCTCCGCCTTTTCACTATGATACATCCACGGTTCCAAAAGCGCGTCACCGGCGCCAAACTGACGTCAGCAGAGCCCAGCTCACGCATTGGACACGAGAACTGCGTCACTCGGACGTATGCGCTCGTCAACAATCAATCCGTCAACGAATATTTGGATTCGCGTTCGTGGCCAATGAGTGCCCTGACAGAACTTATTGTCACTGGGGAATGGCAAGTTCTATGGTGTGCATAAAAAGCACGGTGGAAGCTAGGAGTCATCGCACCGGTGCCGAAGGAATGTCACGACCACGTGATTTCACAATTCGTATTTGAGTTGAGGATTAAATCTAAGTAGGAAGAAGTAGGAAAATCGTTTCATGACCCCTTTAAGCTATGAGTGGCTTTAACCCCGGAAGACAAATGCCAATCCCAAAAATGCTGCCCCTCCCCCGAAAATTAAAGGGGCCGTGCCACGACATTGGGTAGGAACGTTTCTTATTACTCTACACAAGCTTACTGGCACTAGTGAGACCTAAGTTTACTCGCACGCAATACCAATGACAAACAAGCTTCTTCGTCGCTGCGTATATTCATAAAAAAGCGACCGTTTTTTTTTTTTTTTTTTTTTTTAAAGATTGATCACGAAAGTTGTGGCAATAGACCGAAGAACATTGACGGTGGCATTTTTATTTCCTTCGAGCATATCAATATGCTTATACTATGTAAGCGAACAGCGAAGCACGACACTAAGGACTCTGTGCCATTTGACTAGCTCGATGTTATGACTTTCGATGATGAGCTTAAATCCTTTTAGGTGTTTTCTCGTAAAAGGTGAAATCCTATCGACTGCGCATTTCACTTAACATACAAAGCTTAAAACAGTGTTCACCAAAAGGATGTTTTCTTTTTGTATTTTTTTATACGGATGTGAGCTTACTTTTTCCGCAGGAGTTTTTTAAAGGACACATCTAAGAGCACTTGGCCATCGAGAAGTGATTTTGATGAAGCAAAACTTTTATCCGAGGAACGCTAGAAATATTTAACACTAAGGCCGTTTCCATTTTTAGCAGGTCGACCAGATCGAAATCTTGAACTCTACAAACGAGAGCAATAAAACATGTCCAAATGTCTATCGACTGATTTATTTTGTGGAACCTCAAACAATGTTCGATTGGGAAATCATTTTGATTCACCTGACTGCTCCCTGCAGCAGCCAAAGCTTAAAGTTTTGTCAGTTATCGATTCCTATCTTCACAGAATCCCGTACTTCACATGTCTGCTATTTTTTCTTTTCTAACAAATTTTCCTTTTTTTTTAATTTAGAGAGCTTATCGTAGGATCTGAGAGAAAAGTGAATTCCCATTTATCTAATTTATAAATATTAAAAAAAAACGAAACGCGTATTCGTTTCTTGTACGTAACGTGGGTAACATTTTTTTTTTCTTTTTTTCAAGTCCTAACTTGGTCGTTTTTCTAGAAAATCGAGAGTTGCATTAAAACGTGATTCCACAACTTACCGAACGGTAGGTGGGATTTATTTTAATTGTAATATTTAGACGTAATAAAACATATCCTGGATACAATCTTGAATAACGCTATCCGACTCTTGAAATATCATAGCCTTCTCAATGCCTAATTTGCAAACATTACAAAGTATTGATTATTTTCTACAATTTATGCCAGATTATTTTCGCTCAGGCTGCGTAAGCTTGAGATAGAAAAGCATCTGAAAGAAAAGAAAATTGAACAAATGTCCAAAAAAGGTGTCTTACACGGTATTGAAAATAAAATAATAAATAAATCGATTCATTTATTTCGGACCCTACAATAGAGGCTGATGTCGGGTGCAGGGACAAGAAACTAAATGGTTTGACTTGGAGAAGTCTCTGCAGCTTTACAACTGGCAGACGGCGAATGATCAGCGACGATATATTTGAATTATAATTTTCTTGCCAAATCACATATTGTATTATTTGCTAATAATGAAAAACGAAAAGAGAAGCCAGAGCATATTTCGTTCTGGACAGACCTGCTCAGAAAACTAAATAGAAAAAAAATAAACTCGAACGAGGAGGAAAAAAATTAGCGAAAACACGCAGGTGATTGCAATAAGCATGAGTCCGCGTGCATTCATAATTGACACGAGTCCGCAAGCATTTAATTAACGCCACGGTCAATTGCAAAGCGAACTGACTTCGAAACAAGCGGCACGGGCCTTCTTTTCTACTAAACAATTGAAAAAAAACTAAGTTGTCTATTCAATTATAATAGAGAAAATAAAGACTTCCGAGAACGAGTTGAAAACATTAGTGTTCTCTCATTATGCCTTTGCCAAGTAGGCTCGTCAGCCGAATAGTCCTTGGGATAGAACATCTGAGGCGTGGGCTTTCGTAATGTCTCCATAAGTATAAGTAGGTGCGCAATTGTCCGTTTTTTTATATCATTTTTTTTATTGTTACTGTTTTAAGCACGTCATTTTGTTTAGAACATACAGCAATTACGTTATATGATTATGCGTGTACACATTAGAGTTCTATGTGTCTGAGATTATTTTTTGTATCGATTTACGGTGTTTTTTTTTTTTTGTTTGTTTGGGGGGGGGGGGGGGGTAATATTTGTTTCCTAGCCATTCGGTGTTTTTCCGCGTCACTTTTTTGGCGTCGGCCAAAGATTCGTTGTTTATCGGGGACTTGCGTCGTATAAAAGAGAAAACGAGTGTATAATTCACCAACCTCCTGAGAATGTGCTCGTGACCCGGATACTTAAAAAAAACGTCATGGAATAGATAAAAAAACAACACAATATAACGGGTCTGGCTTTCGAATACAAAAGTGTTCATCGCCAATTAAAAATCATGTTGTAATACAAAAAAAAAATCTGTGTTTAATTTGTGAGCTAAAACTCGTCGAAATACTAAGCGCTGGGGGAAAAATAATCCATCTGCGTTAAGCCTTTATTTTGAGCTCTTTTTGTGTACGGTCCGCCTATTCAAAGAAAGACCAAGTACGCACCTGATCTCGCCATCCCGCCGTCTCCTTCCGCACGATACATTCCGTCTGCTATGGTCAGCGTCGTACCATGGATAGGTGGGGGCGAGGGTGGTGGGCGCACGAGAGAGGGAACCACAACCCAATAGCACGTTTCTTTATAGATAACGTGGTTGTGTGGTTGTGCGAGGGGCAATGGCGGTGTTGAGAGAGAGGGTTCATCAAGTCCATGCTTCGGAGCATGAGAGTTTGATGCTTTGTTCACTAAACGGACATGAGCGCCGCCGGAGACTGACACTCGAACGCGCTTTTTGTGCACCGAGTATTTCTCGGAGCGCGAGTGACTTCTTCAGGTTCCGTGACATCACGTCCATAAACAAATTGGCGGCGCTGTTGTCGAGACCCTCGATACGAATAACGCAGCCGGACCGCTGCCCTTTTTTATTGAATAGTGCTCAATCCAGCAGTTGAAAACGATTTCCTTTGAAAGTCAAGACAGCAATTATCGTTCCGGAAAAGGTTTGTTTGTGCATCTCGTTTCAAAACGAGCTCATCTATAGAACGCTAGCGTGCCAATAGCACAGCGACCAAAAGGTTGTCGAGCTGAGAAGGCATTTCGACCGCTGTTCTTTTTAGAATACCTAACTAAGCGAATAAAAATACTTTGGTTCGAAAAGAGAAACATTAGTTGGCTTTGCGGAAAACGTTTGTTCATGCATCTCACCTAAAAACGAATTGGCGTGCTATCTATTGAACGGTGGTGTGCCGGTATCGGCGTAGCACATCGACGGCTTTCGACTCGCTCTGCGAGACGGCACGGAACAACTGACAAGTTTTACAGCAATTCCTTCGTCAAAAAGTGGGTTTAAGCTTGTTGCCTTTCCTTCAAACCTGAACAGCGTGTATGGTCAATATAAACCGATCGGTCAAGTTACCTTTCGCATATGTGCTCGAAGCGAATCATCAAACTTTTCAGGAATATTAAAACAATATTTAAAACTTCCTAACCGTCTTTTTTTTTTACTTTACACTCTGCCGCTTTACAGATGTCCTAATTAATTTATCTTCGGAATACCTTAGACTTCTGCCATCCGCATCCACGCGATGCCGGGTTCGCTGCAGACATGCGGTCGGGACTGGGAAGTGGCTCATCCGGCTCGTCGATAATTTCGGTGCGTCGTGCTCCCGTACGCTATGCTCCGTTTAGTTCCTCCGTTCGGAGCATGAAACTCGGAGCGTCGGAGTAGGAGTAAAG